TGGCGAAGAAGCGCCTTGCAGGGATTCCAGTGTGATCCCAGTCCTCGAAGCACGATGGTGACAAACATGTCCTTGGAAATTGTGTTTCCGAGCTTAAGAAGTTGATCGCGGATGCTTCGGCAGCGGTTGATGTAGGAATTCGCTTTCTCACCCGGTGTCATTTTGACTTCCATGAGTTGCTGGAGCAAGCGACTGGATGATACGGAGTCTTTAGGCTGGTAAGTTTTATTGAGGTAGCTCCAGGCGGCCATGGCGGGGGCTTGATGAGTTTTGTAGGGGCGAATGTCGAGTTGTTCGGTTGGTGCCATGTTGCGGAGTAGGACGCTATACGCCATGAGTGACTCGTTGTAATACTGAGCCTTTGCGTCGTCGGTGTCGCTGGAAGGGCCAGCGTAGCTTCCGTCAAAGTAGCAGAAAATTTGCGCGTTTTGGAGTAGTAGCTCGAGCTCGAAACTCCAGGTGTAGAAATCTCGCCCGCTAAACACGGTGCTGGTTCGAATCTTGGAGATAGTCAGAAACTTGTTCTGAGCTGCGAGCACAGCTTCGTCACTTGGACGAGGAACTGTTGGAGCAGAAGAATTCGACCCGAGATCAAAGGTGGTTGGGCTCGGTTCCTTGGTTGGAGCGGCCGGTTGATCGGGTTTCGGAGCGGTTTCAGGGTTGTCATTCTTCAGTTGTTGACTTCCTGATTCCAGCGTAGAAATCCGCTGGATGAGTTGCTCCAGTAGTGCATTGCTGATGGTGGTAGTTCCCGCGGAGTTCGCGGTAGGGTTGGCGGGGGCTTCGGCAGTGTTGGCCGCTTGTCCGCCAGATCCTCCAGCCATGTTTCGGCGAGAGCACGTACCGGACGCCACCTTGAATTTGAATTTGGATCAAAGGTGGTGGTGCGAAGAATCCTGAGTGGCTCTCATACCACGATACAATCTGAACCGTCTTATAGGATCGTCTCAGGTTGATCGCACGGAGTGTAGCAGCGGAAGATTGCTTGGTGATGTCGGGTACGGACTCTGTCAGTAGAAGGAGATTTAGATCTCGACAGAAGTGAATAACATAATGGGGTACAAGGGTTTATATAGGAATACAGTGGAATACAAAAGGTCCTAGCTAGCCATGTACTCTGAGGGGGTACATTCCCCTTAGGGCTAATCTAGATGCACGATAGAAACCGTGCGGCTCGGTAACCGTACGCGGTCCGGTAACCGTTTGAAGTTTTCCCGCGCTTTGCACTTCAAATTCTTCCTGCTTGCAACTGTCTTCGATAATTGTCGTGTCGCTCGGTCTTCGTCCTCGCTGCAGTCATCTTCGCGTTAAGGATTCGTTACTCAGGAATGTTTATTCAACAGTTCCATATCGTAACACATCCCACCAGTACAGGTCACCATCAGGTGAAATATCAAGTAGCTGCCTGCTGTTGAAGATACCGTATGGCCCCGGATATAGGCGCCGTCCGATTAGAGGCGCCGGCACTTCTATCTGGAGCATGGCGCTTATGGTCGTTCCTCGATTATAGGCGCACCCCATTTTGTACCCGTACTTATTATAAGCGCATACGTAAATTGTTTATTTTTATTTTAGACAAACACTAACAATTAACGTCTCTGAAAGCATTTCAGCAGAAATCTAGCACCAACTATTACAAAGGCCTACTAAGAACTACATGAACAGGCGTTTACAAAGGCCTTTCTAACCAGCTACTCCTCGTCATACTCGGTCTCCTGGCAGTTGTTGCCGAAGAAGCCATCGGCGATGATGTCGTCGTCGACATCCACTTCCGCGGTCAGCTGGGTCCGCCTGTGCGCCATGGCGAGGCCGTCCTCGCTGCCGTCAAGCGCGTTACTAATGCCACAGGTGAGGAATGCGCGCTTGATGAGGTCGGCGGGAACTGCCCTCCAGGCCCGCGAGATCCACCTCAGGACCACTGCAGGTGGCGGCTTCTTGAGATTCCCTGAAACAACAGAAAAGGGACGATGGTGAGTAGATTAAGAAACGAGACGGAGTGAGGCCTCCATAGACAAAAAGCAGTTTAGTTCCGTACCTGCTTAGTCAGTTGTTCTTGCCCCTCCTCTTGAAACCACTTTGGGTACTGCTGACGGACGGAGGCCTTGAAGCTTTTGTTGACGGAGACGTCCAGTGGCTGAATCTCCCCCGTACAGCCCGACGGGATGATCGCCGGCACGCAGTTTAGCTCGCGTAACTTCTCCTTCACCCCCTTGGTGAGGTGCCCGCGATAGGAATCCAGAACCAGCATGGAGCTCCTGGAGTGCCGACCGAAAGACGGCTTCAGGAACGGCTTCACACACTCTTCGAGCCAGCGGATGACGCCCGCGGAGTCCATCCACCCGTTGTCGTGGCACGCCACGACCACATCTGCAAAAAAAACATCGGGAAGAGAAACAAGAAATTAGTGAAACGGTAAACAAAAAACGTGTGCAACACACATCATACAAACATCACTTACCCGGGGGAAAGTCGCCCTTCGGCAGCGTCTTCCGCTTGAAAAAAACCCACGGCTTGAGCTTGGCGCCGTCACCCGTGCACGCCAGCATCACGGTCACGCGCTCCTTCTGGTAACCGGCACTCCTATGGGCACCGAGCGAACGCCCGCTTGCTCGACGGTCGTGGTGGCGGGCATCTCCAGCCAGAAAGGAGTCTGGTCGGCGTTGATGATCCACGTGGTCTCGATGCCGCGTTTGCGTCGCTTGTCTCGGACGAACTGCCAAAAACTCTTGCACTGCTCCGCGACATCTGCGAGACGTGGGAGACAGGGTGAAACACACGGGTGCAATTAGTACGGTAAATCTCATGTTACAGCACCAACAATTACCGTATGCGGCGGTAAACGCAATCTCACGAGCGGCGGTTTTCTGTGCAACCCTTGTCTTCATGCGGACGCTTAGATTCCGGCGCCTCCGAAACCGCTCAGACCACCGTTGACTCCCCTTCCACCTCTCTAGCGGGTAGAGAACCTTCATAAACTCCTTCGACCACTCCTGCAGGCGGCCCACCGACACCGCGGTTCCTTTGCGGCGCCACTCGAGGAGTCGCTCGTACACCTTCATCTCCATCGGTCGGTACCAGCTGGATATCCCGCGACCGTGCATCCGCTTCCGTGCAGAGTGAGCTTCCTTCAGGAATTCCGCGGAACGCTTCCAGTTGGAGAGGCACTTGCGGTGTATACCGCTCTCGCGAGCCAACGCACGCACCGAAACTGCCACCTGCAGAAGCGCGACATACTTCAATTTCTCGGCGGCGGTATAGGCTTGACGCTTGTGATCGTTGAGCTTATGCCTGGGAGAGGGGGGGCGGGCATCACGGTTCTGTGTAGCGGGGTGGGGTCGCTTGCGATTAGTAGGAGGGTAGGTAGGTATCGGCAACTTCTCTGGGAGCCCGTCGCGCGACCAGTACTCAACACCGTCGTCCTCGTCGCCGCCCGGCGCACCCTCGGGAAACACATCCTCAGCGGTGCCGGCCTCGGTTTCAGTCTCCGTGCCACCCTCGGCGCCTTTGTCGCCCTCCTCGAGACTCTCCTCCTCAGCGTCAGGGATGCCGTCGTCGGCGCCGACTGCCGATTCGTCCCACGTACAATCGTCGGGACGGCCCCAGCGCTGTCCTGGCACATATTCAACATCCACATACTCATCTGTGGGCTTCTTGGACTCTGGTTCCGAGAGGTATTCGTCGAAGGCCAAAGGGAGCAGAAGCGTGAGCACGGGAGGATTGCCCGTTTGAACAGGAGACACCGGCAACGGGTGAGAAGGAGGAACAGGAGGAACAGGAGGCGCAGGAGGCTCAGGAGGTGCAGGAGGAGCAGGCGGCGCAGGAGGCGCTGGAAGTTGTGGTGGCTCTGGTGGGCTAGGTGGGACGCAGGAGTACCATCCGTCCGCGTCAACTACGAAGGCGGGCTTACGGGTGGGTTTCTTCTTGAACAAGAAATGAGTGCCAGAGAATTCTGCCATGGCTTCCGCAGCATGGCGGGCGAGACCAAGAATCTGAATGAAAAAGTGAAAGAGAAGGAGAAGAAATGAGGGTTTGGAGGGGACCCCTTCTGGTGTGCGGCTCGAGTTCCTCTTCAGGCATAGTCAGATCCCCCCCCGCCTAAACCCGCAGAGGAGGGAATCGCGGCACGTATCTGCTGCGCTGGCAGGGATATTCCACCCCCTTCTCGAATGTTCGGGTGAAATGTGGCACCCTGGCAGCGCATGTAAACCCTATTGGGCCGCACGGCAGGATGCACGTCATCGCTGGCAGGTGCGTTGCACCAGGACGGGCTTTGTGCGGTGGGAAATCGAGTCGCGACTGGTTTCGGCGGGATTTCATGCACGAGCCCATGCGCACAGTGCATGGTCTTGTTCGCCTTATTGAGGGCTTCAGTTTCGTGCCTCTAAAAACAAAAACCCTTTTTGACATTATAAAAGCGCCGGCGCTCATGGCCATTACTCAATTACAAGTGCCACCCCTAAAAAAAATGAATTTATTATAAGCGCATATGCGCCTCTATCCGGGGCTATACGGTAGGTGATTCTTATGGGCTAATAAGGTAACAATCAATGTTTGCTGATGCAGTCTCTCACACCGTAAGGACGTGGTCAGGTCAGGTTGTACTCCTCTTGAACGTTCTCTGCGGTCTAGTTCGTTGCGTCACTGCGTCAAAAGATAAGCTAAAAAAGCGCCTACAACTGCATGGATTCTCTTGAGCCACGAGGCATGGTATGGTACACGCAATTTTGACTTTATCACCCAGTCTTTTGCAAAACAATTATACACAATCAAAACATACCGTAACATTTTATTATAACACGAACCAAGTTATTACTGCATGCAATGCAAGCATTGAAGGAATAAAATGGAATTGAATGCACTATCAAATACCTATAAATAAAAACAAATCAGCAAATAAAACTTAGTATTACACGCGCGGCTGGAACTGTCACCGGCGCTCAACCCCCTGTGCATGTGAGGTACGGTATGCCAGGCTCACCCCCCTCACCTAACACAGCGAGCTACGGTCTGGGCTTGCAGAGTACTCTGCCCACCCAAAGCGAGCTGGTAGTGCATGTGAAGCCCACGTTGTATTGGTACATGAGGGAATAGGAGCACTTGAATACCTTGCACACCACCGTGGCACACGTGTCTCCTCGCACCACTGTGTATGTGCCGTAGTAGCAGGACGCTCCTATCAGGGCTAGGCTGCCCACACAGAGCTGTGCGCGGGGAAGAGGGTGGGGGGGGATGGGAAAGAGAGGTTGACGCGAGGAGAGTCAAGGGTTTGTTTAAGAGAGAGAGAATGCATCTGCTGTCTGACATGCTTGCGTGTCACTAAACACACTCCCTGGGTGTTATCACGTCAATAAACGTCAGCAGAAGTGACAAGGAACCGCCCCAAAAAGCTTACCTGCTGGCCCACAAGGCGCTGGGAGGAGTCAGCGGAGCAGATGATCCCGGGGTTGTAGGAGTAGAGCTGCAGCGCTGTGATTGGCGGCTGTGCCTTGGCCATGACGTCGGTGCACGTCTCCCCCGGGTTGACCGTGTAATAGCTCGTACAGGATAGCGGCAGCGGTGTGCCCTGATCCATGCACAGCTGGTGGAGAGAGAGGGGGGGGGGGGGGGGAGGGGGGGGGTAAGGGAAGGGAGAACGGTAGAGGAGGGGGAGAGGGGGAGGGGAGGGAGGTAGAGGGAGTGAGGGGATAGCAGGCGGCGGGCGTGCAGTGATCGAGGAGGGAGGTGGCATGGCATGGGGATGTGAGAGGCGGGAGTTATGTGCGAGAACAAAAACAAGTGCAGCAGTGGTGCAGGAATGGAAAAAGCACAGCGGGGTGAATTGGCGGCACGAGAGGAGAGTGGGTGTGGGGAGTGTTTGGGGGGAGGGGGGGAGTCGGGGAGGGGAGTGGGGGTTGGGGAGAGGGTGTGCAGCAGAGGCAGTGGTGGGATGGGACGAGGGAGGGAGGTGGGGGGAGAGCAGCACCTGTTGGCCGGGCACGAGCTGCGTGCAGTTGAGGTCAGGGTTCAGTGCTGCCAGGTCCGCTTCTGTGAGCCCAAACATGCTCAGCACCCACTCACACGTGTCGCCCTGCCATTGGTGGGCGCGGAAGGGGAGATAGAGAGGAGAAGGCAGGGTGTAGAGCGGGAGAGAGTGAGTGGAATGGAAGGGAAAGAGAGAAAGGCAGAGAGAGCTCTGCGACGGAAAAGGGATTACTTGAAATCAACCCTTTATCACTGACAACGCCTGTGTGATTATTCGACTAACCGATGGGAAGGAGCGAAAATATGGATGGTGTGGGGGAGGAGGAGGGGAAGGGGGGAAGGCAGGGAAAGGCAGAAACGAAAAGATCCACAGCAGTGCGGGAGGAAAGGGCAGGAGGCGTGGTGGGAAGGGGCAGCGCGCAGTGGGTACAGCGCGCAGTGGGTACAGCGCGCAGTGGGTACAGCGCGCAGTGGGTACAGCGCGCAGCGTGCACGTGCAGCGGGCAGTGCACAGTGCAGAGCGACACGCACCTGGGAGATGGTGAGCGGCACAGTGCAGCCGGAGATGGAGGTGAGGGAGGCGCTGCTGCCGGCAGGGCGCACTGTGATGCTCGTGCCCGCCTTGTAGATCCCTGGACACTTGAGCTTCTGCACCGCCGCACGAGCGGCAGGGTGGGGAGGCAGGAGAGCGGGGGGGTCAGGAGGAGAGAAAGACTTAGTCGTGTGGAAGAGGTGGGAGTGGAGGAGGGGGGGAGAGGGGGGTGAGAGAAGCGTGGCAGGCAGGCGGGCAGGAAGGAGGGTGTGTGTGTGTGCCTCCTCTTGGGCACGGCGCGTGGCAGGAATGAATGCAGCGAGGGGTGGGAGTGAACGAGGAATGAATCCGTGTATGCGTGCAGTTCACGGGGTTGAGAGGCACTCACGGGGTTGAGAGGCACTCACGGGGTTGAGGAGGCACTCACGGGGTTGAGGAGGCACTCACGGGGTTGAGGAGGCACTCACGGGGTTGAGGAGGCACTCACGGGGTTGAGGAGGCACTCACGGGGTTGAGGAGGCACTCACGGGGTTGAGGAGGCACTCACGGGGTTGAGGAGGCACTCACGGGGTTGAGGAGGCACTCACGGGGTTGAGGAGGCACTCACGGGGTTGAGGAGGCACTCACGGGGTTGAGGAGGCACTCACGGGGTTGAGGAGGCACTCACGGGGTTGAGGAGGCACTCACGGGGTTGAGGAGGCACTCACGGGGTTGAGGAGGCACTCACGGGGTTGAGGAGGCACTCACGGGGTTGAGGAGGCACTCACGGGGTTGAGGAGGCACTCACGGGGTTGAGGAGGCACTCACGGGGTTGAGGAGGCACTCACGGGGTTGAGGAGGCACTCACGGGGTTGAGGAGGCACTCACGGGGTTGAGGAGGCACTCACGGGGTTGAGGAGGCACTCACGGGGTTGAGGAGGCACTCACGGGGTTGAGGAGGCACTCACGGGGTTGAGGAGGCACTCACGGGGTTGAGGAGGCACTCACGGGGTTGAGGAGGCACTCACGGGGTTGAGGAGGCACTCACGGGGTTGAGGAGGCACTCACGGGGTTGAGGAGGCACTCACGGGGTTGAGGAGGCACTCACGGGGTTGAGGAGGCACTCACGGGGTTGAGGAGGCACTCACGGGGTTGAGGAGGCACTCACGGGGTTGAGGAGGCACTCACGGGGTTGAGGAGGCACTCACGGGGTTGAGGAGGCACTCACGGGGTTGAGGAGGCACTCACGGGGTTGAGGAGGCACTCACGGGGTTGAGGAGGCACTCACGGGGTTGAGGAGGCACTCACGGGGTTGAGGAGGCACTCACGGGGTTGAGGAGGCACTCACGGGGTTGAGGAGGCACTCACGGGGTTGAGGAGGCACTCACGGGGTTGAGGAGGCACTCACGGGGTTGAGGAGGCACTCACGGGGTTGAGGAGGCACTCACGGGGTTGAGGAGGCACTCACGGGGTTGAGGAGGCACTCACGGGGTTGAGGAGGCACTCACGGGGTTGAGGAGGCACTCACGGGGTTGAGGAGGCACTCACGGGGTTGAGGAGGCACTCACGGGGTTGAGGAGGCACTCACGGGGTTGAGGAGGCACTCACGGGGTTGAGGAGGCACTCACGGGGTTGAGGAGGCACTCACGGGGTTGAGGAGGCACTCACGGGGTTGAGGAGGCACTCACGGGGTTGAGGAGGCACTCACGGGGTTGAGGAGGCACTCACGGGGTTGAGGAGGCACTCACGGGGTTGAGGAGGCACTCACGGGGTTGAGGAGGCACTCACGGGGTTGAGGAGGCACTCACGGGGTTGAGGAGGCACTCACGGGGTTGAGGAGGCACTCACGGGGTTGAGGAGGCACTCACGGGGTTGAGGAGGCACTCACGGGGTTGAGGAGGCACTCACGGGGTTGAGGAGGCACTCACGGGGTTGAGGAGGCACTCACGGGGTTGAGGAGGCACTCACGGGGTTGAGGAGGCACTCACGGGGTTGAGGAGGCACTCACGGGGTTGAGGAGGCACTCACGGGGTTGAGGAGGCACTCACGGGGTTGAGGAGGCACTCACGGGGTTGAGGAGGCACTCACGGGGTTGAGGAGGCACTCACGGGGTTGAGGAGGCACTCACGGGGTTGAGGAGGCACTCACGGGGTTGAGGAGGCACTCACGGGGTTGAGGAGGCACTCACGGGGTTGAGGAGGCACTCACGGGGTTGAGGAGGCACTCACGGGGTTGAGGAGGCACTCACGGGGTTGAGGAGGCACTCACGGGGTTGAGGAGGCACTCACGGGGTTGAGGAGGCACTCACGGGGTTGAGGAGGCACTCACGGGGTTGAGGAGGCACTCACGGGGTTGAGGAGGCACTCACGGGGTTGAGGAGGCACTCACGGGGTTGAGGAGGCACTCACGGGGTTGAGGAGGCACTCACGGGGTTGAGGAGGCACTCACGGGGTTGAGGAGGCACTCACGGGGTTGAGGAGGCACTCACGGGGTTGAGGAGGCACTCACGGGGTTGAGGAGGCACTCACGGGGTTGAGGAGGCACTCACGGGGTTGAGGAGGCACTCACGGGGTTGAGGAGGCACTCACGGGGTTGAGGAGGCACTCACGGGGTTGAGGAGGCACTCACGGGGTTGAGGAGGCACTCACGGGGTTGAGGAGGCACTCACGGGGTTGAGGAGGCACTCACGGGGTTGAGGAGGCACTCACGGGGTTGAGGAGGCACTCACGGGGTTGAGGAGGCACTCACGGGGTTGAGGAGGCACTCACGGGGTTGAGGAGGCACTCACGGGGTTGAGGAGGCACTCACGGGGTTGAGGAGGCACTCACGGGGTTGAGGAGGCACTCACGGGGTTGAGGAGGCACTCACGGGGTTGAGGAGGCACTCACGGGGTTGAGGAGGCACTCACGGGGTTGAGGAGGCACTCACGGGGTTGAGGAGGCACTCACGGGGTTGAGGAGGCACTCACGGGGTTGAGGAGGCACTCACGGGGTTGAGGAGGCACTCACGGGTTGAGGAGGCACTCACGGGGTTGAGGAGGCACTCACGGGGTTGAGGAGGCACTCACGGGGTTGAGGAGGCACTCACGGGGTTGAGGAGGCACTCACGGGGTTGAGGAGGCACTCACGGGGTTGAGGAGGCACTCACGGGGTTGAGGAGGCACTCACGGGGTTGAGGAGGCACTCACGGGGTTGAGGAGGCACTCACGGGGTTGAGGAGGCACTCACGGGGTTGAGGAGGCACTCACGGGGTTGAGGAGGCACTCACGGGGTTTGAGGAGGCACTCACGGGGTTGAGGAGGCACTCACGGGGTTGAGGAGGCACTCACGGGGTTGAGGAGGCACTCACGGGGTTGAGGAGGCACTCACGGGTTGAGGAGGCACTCACGGGGTTGAGGAGGCACTCACGGGGTTGAGGAGGCACTCACGGGGTTGAGGAGGCACTCACGGGGTTGAGGAGGCACTCACGGGGTTGAGGAGGCACTCACGGGGTTGAGGAGGCACTCACGGGGTTGAGGAGGCACTCACGGGGTTGAGGAGGCACTCACGGGGTTGAGGAGGCACTCACGGGGTTGAGGAGGCACTCACGGGTTGAGGAGGCACTCACGGGGTTGAGGAGGCACTCACGGGGTTGAGGAGGCACTCACGGGGTTGAGGAGGCACTCACGGGGTTGAGGAGGCACTCACGGGGTTGAGGAGGCACTCACGGGGTTGAGGAGGCACTCACGGGGTTGAGGAGGCACTCACGGGGTTGAGGAGGCACTCACGGGGTTGAGGAGGCACTCACGGGGTTGAGGAGGCACTCACGGGGTTGAGGAGGCACTCACGGGGTTGAGGAGGCACTCACGGGGTTGAGGAGGCACTCACGGGGTTGAGGAGGCACTCACGGGGTTGAGGAGGCACTCACGGGGTTGAGGAGGCACTCACGGGGTTGAGGAGGCACTCACGGGGTTGAGGAGGCACTCACGGGGTTGAGGAGGCACTCACGGGGTTGAGGAGGCACTCACGGGGTTGAGGAGGCACTCACGGGGTTGAGGAGGCACTCACGGGGTTGAGGAGGCACTCACGGGGTTGAGGAGGCACTCACGGGGTTGAGGAGGCACTCACGGGGTTGAGGAGGCACTCACGGGGTTGAGGAGGCACTCACGGGGTTGAGGAGGCACTCACGGGGTTGAGGAGGCACTCACGGGTTGAGGAGGCACTCACGGGGTTGAGGAGGCACTCACGGGGTTGAGGAGGCACTCACGGGGTTGAGGAGGCACTCACGGGGTTGAGGAGGCACTCACGGGGTTGAGGAGGCACTCACGGGGTTGAGGAGGCACTCACGGGGTTGAGGAGGCACTCACGGGGTTGAGGAGGCACTCACGGGGTTGAGGAGGCACTCACGGGGTTGAGGAGGCACTCACGGGGTTGAGGAGGCACTCACGGGGTTGAGGAGGCACTCACGGGGTTGAGGAGGCACTCACGGGGTTGAGGAGGCACTCACGGGGTTGAGGAGGCACTCACGGGGTTGAGGAGGCACTCACGGGGTTGAGGAGGCACTCACGGGGTTGAGGAGGCACTCACGGGGTTGAGGAGGCACTCACGGGGTTGAGGAGGCACTCACGGGGTTGAGGAGGCACTCACGGGGTTGAGGAGGCACTCACGGGGTTGAGGAGGCACTCACGGGGTTGAGGAGGCACTCACGGGGTTGAGGAGGCACTCACGGGGTTGAGGAGGCACTCACGGGGTTGAGGAGGCACTCACGGGGTTGAGGAGGCACTCACGGGGTTGAGGAGGCACTCACGGGGTTGAGGAGGCACTCACGGGGTTGAGGAGGCACTCACGGGGTTGAGGAGGCACTCACGGGGTTGAGGAGGCACTCACGGGGTTGAGGAGGCACTCACGGGGTTGAGGAGGCACTCACGGGTTGAGGAGGCACTCACGGGGTTGAGGAGGCACTCACGGGGTTGAGGAGGCACTCACGGGGTTGAGGAGGCACTCACGGGGTTGAGGAGGCACTCACGGGGTTGAGGAGGCACTCACGGGGTTGAGGAGGCACTCACGGGGTTGAGGAGGCACTCACGGGGTTGAGGAGGCACTCACGGGGTTGAGGAGGCACTCACGGGGTTGAGGAGGCACTCACGGGGTTGAGGAGG